TTTTCGCCAGGTTTTTCTTTTAATCCACCCCCAGAAAGGGAAAGGAAACCCTTTGGCTTGCGCGGGGAAATTTTTAAGTTAAAGGGGGGTTCAGGGGGCTTGGCCACAAACCAGCCCGGTTTTTTTGGGGAGGCCCGGAGGAATTAAAAAAAGACAGGAGGGTTTCGCAAAGGAGGTTTTTTCCCCAGTTTTTCCCAAGACACGCCTCCATGCCACCCGGTTTCGGCTTCGGCCACGGAAATTCCGGAAGTTCCCTGGACACCCCAGCCCCCCCCCCGACCCCCCCCCCGACCCCCCCCCCGACGAACGCCGACGCCTCCTCCGCTCCCGAGCCCCCGCTAGGCTGGAAACCCGGGGACGCGCTGTCAAAGAACCAGGCGGGGGATCTACCCACAACCGTCGTTCCCGGGAAAAAACCGTCCGCCTGAGTCCAATCGTAGATTTCGTAGATGCATTGAGCGAAGGTCGTGGAGGGTGACGGAGGAGGTTGATCAGTATGCTGTCGACCGAGGACATCATCGTGCCCCTTCCAAACCCAGCTAGGGGTGCCTAGCCGCCTAGACCCTCACAGAGGGCAGGTTCTCGCGGCCTTTCGACCATCGGCAACAACGCGCCCCCGTCATGACAAAGCAACGTTCCTCGTCCCATGCTGCGTGTAAGACAGTCGCCCGATGCGGAGCGGCTGGAATTGCACCTCCGTTGTTCCATCCCACCCCATCATTCCATCATTCCCGTGTTTGTTGTCGCGGAATAGCGGGGGTTGGTTCTCTGTTCCCTCTGCTTTCGACCTCGCGGAAACGGGCATTACTCTCGGGGAACATTGGTCTCCTAAATTTGTGTGCCGCTACGCCGCTCTGCCACGTTGGAATTCGAACCAACACGCCTCCAAGGCAACTCTTTTCACGGCTCTCGTGACATCTACTTGTGTTCCTCCATAACAGTCGTGCGTTCAAAATTTTGTTCTCTTTCAGCGTAGTCCCAAGAGCCAGTGCCTACTACGTTTATCTCTGGGCCACCGAAACTGCGCGCCTCTCTCTATGCAGAGTCATACCGATGCTGCTACAGACGCACCGGTTAGCGTGTCAGAATTTCGTCTAAACATGGAGGACAACAACGACAACAACTGACGGGTAGAAAAAATAACCTCTTGGCGAAGACACAGGAGTCTGTCGACTGCTGTGGTGCGCTCCTCCTGAAATCGTGTTGAGGAAATCGCACCTAAATCGGCGATCGGTTGAAAAAACAAGATAAGAAGAAGGAAAAAAAAACACATGGACAACGCGACGCCTTCCGACCCACCTCGTACGATATCCAGCACAGAGTGCGGCCGTCAAACACGTCGATCTTCCCCGTTGCCCCCACAAACGCCGCCACCTCCCGAGAAAAGGAAACCCCTTGCGTTGGCCCTCTTTTTCGCGATGAAGATAAGAGAGAGGGGGGCGGGGGGCGGGGGTAGGCATTAAGGGTTGGGTGGAATCGAAGCATTGGCGTGTGCAAATCGAATCAACGGTGTTCCTCAGCATTCGTGTGGTATTTCGTCCATGAAAAATAATGCTCCATACAGCAGCCATAGGCCCTTCATAAGGCGGGATATACAAGGCGGGTGCCCGCTATAGGGCGGGTGAAATTGGCTGGCACAGATGGAATATTCAAGACGGCTAATACATTCAATAGGACGGGTGCCTTGTATAGCGCGGGTCTATCGGTCTGGCGCCAACCCGCCTTTTAGAGAGCCTACGAGTGTGCCCAGTACCAAGAGCTGCCATGCCCCGCAGTGACGGAGCGCAAGGCTCCCGCGTGGCATCAAGCGATAAGGCAACTCGTGGTCACAGGCCAACCTACATAGGAACCAAGGGCCACAAGCGCGGAGAGTTCGTTACCCTTCCTGACGATAGCTGCTGCCGACAAAATGCGAGTCTTCGCATCGCAGTAGCGGCGCAATACCTGACGGTTGGCGCGTCCATCCTTGGCAGCACCCTTCGCTCGTCGAAGTCGAAGAGGTCTACCATGGATGAGTCCCCGGTGTTCGAAACGCCTCCAGCGAACATCCCCACAGTTCGCTTCTCCTGCTCTCCAAAACCCGGACAATAAACGGACCAAAATGAACACACAGAAGGGCAAAAATAAAAAGGGAAAACCCGCAAAAATCAGCCTTGCACGAACTAGAAAAAAAGCGCAAGGTAGGGGATCGGGGAATATTTCCACATGAAGTTCGCGACTCAATGACTCAGAGGCCCACGAGAAATTGCCATAGAGAAGGGGGGACGGGGGCACGAAAGAAGCCGCAATGTATTTGACCACACATTAGAGAACACAACAACACACTGAGGTACTGCCGTGTCGGAGACTACGCCTGCGGATATAAAACAAAAGCCGTCGAAGACGGACCAGGTCAACAAGCGACGAGGGTGAAACCGTCGACGAAGCCGTCGACAGGGGGGGGGGGGGCGGGGGCAGGCTGACACAAACACCGCGAAGGTACCGAAAAAACACAGCCCAGCAGTCAAACGAAACGTGTGTAATAAAACAATACAGGTGAGTATCAGTATAAAACATGGTACTCAATAAAGGCGTGGTTGAGATGACCGTCCCCAACAGCGCAAACCTAGCGGTAACCGGCGTGGGAGGACTTTTAAATAAACAAAAAGTTTGTCGCACCACCGATAGACTCTCTTCACTCCCCCCTGGGTGCTCTCAAGCTTCCCACACCACAACCAGAAGCACACAAAAAGTGGCGACGTAGTCGTACGTGAGGGTAACACCACATGTGTGTGCAGCATGAGCTGTTGCAGGATAAGGTGACACATCGTAGGAAGTAGGTCAGGTGGCAGTAAACACGTTCGTGAGACGTTTCACACAAAACGGTTCTGTGAAGCGCCTGTACTTGTGAAACGGCCCCGCACTTCCCGGGGCGGGGGGATCGAGAGAGAGAGAGGAAGGGACTTACCGGGCCCGTCGAGATCTCGATCACCGCCGACCCCATGAGGTGCCGCGGCTCCGACAGCGTGTGCTCCCCCCAGGTGGCGAAGCTCCACGTTGCCCCGTCCCACACCTCGGCGCGGTCGCTGTTGAAGCCAGCGCCTCCCTCTCCCATCGAAACCTACCCCACGTCGGCGGTAGAGGATTGGGGGGGGGGGGGGGGAGGGGGGGTGCATGAAGGGGGGGGTATGCACGGCACTACGCTGTGCTTTGTGTGTGTTGTACTGTAGGTGACTACGAGCAACGGCAGAGAGGCTAGTAACACCAGCAACAATAGCAACGTCAGCAAAATATATCAGTACAACGCAACACCAACAACACCAACACCAACACCAATGGTCAAGCCGTCTCAACAATACCGACAGCAACAAAGTTGGTCAAGGCGCCACCAACAACGATAACAACATACCAATACCAACACCAACAGAAACACCACCACCACTAACAGCGTCCGTCCAACTCCTCACCCGTCCCCCCGCGAACACGCACTGGTGCTTGAAGCAGCAGGACGTCATCTCGAACCGGGGAGGGTTCGGCAAGCGCGGTACGGGAAGCGTGGCCACCTTGGCCTGGCGTTCCACCAACGCGCACCGAAGAAAGAAAACAGAACCGCGTTCCACACGGGAAAAACACGGACGCGTCGGGCGGAACGAAACATGGAAGGCAAAGAGGACGGGACAGAATCAGCAACAATACAGAAGCAAAGAGTTAAACTACGCAGCGAAAAAAACTGCGAAGGTGCATGTCGTTCTTCAAAGCGCCGACAGCAGCGACGCCGACAGGAAAGACGGACTGACTGACAAGCGAGCGCAGCACTCGCGAGGGAGGTCGACGGTAGAGCTCGCAATGTGAGAATGCCATCCAAGGTTCCATAAGCCACCACACCCGATGGGCCCATTTTCAACGCTCGATTTCTCCACAACGAAGAGGATGCCACAAAAAAAAAAAAAAGGAGGTTCGAGAACGCTCTCGACGAAGCGACGCTCCAACGTCGCCATCATTGGCACCGTCCTTTTTCCCCTAGCAGAACAATCGAGCTTTGATAAGCTCTCCAGGGGGGTGTGGTACCCTACGCAGCTACGGTGACCACGCAGTAGTGATACCGAAGATAAACAGCCGGCACACCTTCGAATCACAACTCGAAATACCTCGAGGGCCCGGCTTTTTCCCATTTTCGAAGCGAGTCGCCAGAGGGCCCCGACACAAGCATAGAAGAAATGCTCACTGACACACACATACACACCCTCCCCCCTTGCGATTTTCACCAGCCGAAAATAGCAGTGCCCAAACAAAGCAAACAAAACTGGCATTTACTGGAAACACGCCTACGCCGAGTACGGTACTGACACCCGCACGGACTTGGACCAAGCCGATTTACAACAGAACTGAGGACTACACTGCTGTGCTTACGGCCGCCGCCCGTCCGTCCATGATCCCCCACTCACGGACTCCTGTTCCTTCGGGCCACTCGGAGGCCACCATATACCCGTCCGTCGTCATCCGACCTGCGGTGCCGCCATCCCCACCCACCCACCCCCTCGCTCGCAAGAGGGTTGGTCAATACCAAGCAGCAGCAACTCCGTCCACCTTACGCCGAAAAAATCCCAGAGAGACGCCCGCTATGCATACGGTCCGCGCGCCCCCGGTTAACAGCCTTCCGCACCCGGCCCTCCTCCTCAAACCGACCGAACAAGCAACCAGAAACAAACAAACGGCGGAGATCCCCGTCCCATGAGGATACATACAACCGTCTTGTACAATGCCCTCGTTTCACACCCCCGCAAAGTTCACATGAGCGATTATTTACCTCGCCGGTTGCCTCGTCGATCCCATCATGCCTGAATATGTCTACCGTCGACGTGGCCGTGTACTGGCCTCCCCCTTCCCCGCCCCCCGTGGGTATAATGCCTCCGGCCACGAGGACGTGCGCCGTCGGCGCCCAGGCGGAAGGGTCGCCCTCGTCCGGGGACCCCGTGAAAAACACCCCCACCGTGGCGGCGTACTTGGGCTCGCACAGCCTGTGTTGGCCGCGGAAAGAAGGCGTTTGCGTCTTTGTTGGACCGGGTAGGAATGTTGAGAACGGTTCTTAACGGAGAGACAACAGAAGCAGCAGCAACCGCAACACCGGAATCAATTTGTTCCCCTCTGTTTCACCCCCCTCCTGTCTACAACCTGAACTGACACAAACATTGCGGAACACACCCGAAACGAAGTCTCGCGTCGTGCAGTGGACGTCAAAACACGGGAGTCTTCATATGGCGCAGGCAAGACACGGCGTGTTCCACAAAAAAGACGAAACGTAGAATATGCAACGCAAAAACCAGCACGGAATAACAAGTTAGAAAAAGAGGAGAACTACAGCAGTAGATACCATACACTCGGGGGGTCCAAACGTGACCTACTTCAGCATGGACAACCGCGCAGCTGAAACTCACCTTACGGCGTCCGGAGGAAGAAGCGATAGCTTCCCTTTCCCTTCTTGCGCCCCATCACCGCCGCCGCCGCTCCCCAAAAAAAACACATCCACCGCGTCCGTGGCCTGACAGTTCTTGAGCAGCAAGGGCACATCGGGGTCCGCTCCGGGGGGCACGTCAACGGCAACCCCGCCCCCGCTCTCCCCACCACCATCTTGAATGATTGTAGTCCCTGAGCTTTGGGTCTCTTGTTGGTTGTCGTCCCCGACGTCCTCCATGCCGCACCCCCCGGCAAAGAACATCGCACTGCTTGTCCCCCCCGCTCCCATGTCGGTCCTGGCGACTCCAAGCCTTTGTTGGTTGTTTCGTGTTGTGGTTGTCGGGCAAAAGAAGGCGGAAGGTTGGCACGGGGGGGGGCGCATGGGACGCTTTTTCTCTGGGTGGTCCTCAGTGTGGCGAGAGAGAGACAGAGAAAGAGCCAGACAGAGAAAAAAAAATACACCGCGCGCGCTACATCAATACAGCAGTCGTGTACGCAGAGAGCTTTCTCGGCATTGTTGTTGCAGGCAGAAGGGCCCTCTAAGCATTGTTTGTTGGGAAGGGAAGGGAAGGGAGGGAGAGGATCAGGACTCCATGCCAGTTTTAAAACGCACAAGTTTTCGCGGCATCGTGGTGGTGTCGGTGTCAAATTTGCTCTGTGCTAGAAGTATTCAAACCTCAAGAAGTACCTCGGCGTCAGTACCATGGCGCGATACCGCAGATTGCACAAGATGCCACACCCCCTGGGCCGATATTCAAAGCTCGACAACTCTGCAGCGAACATGCATACTTGTACAATCAGTGAAGGCGCCGAAGAACGGCGGCGTTGGAACCGTTTCGTCGAGAGCTTTCCGGCAACGCAGCTCTTGATTTTGGCATACTCTTCGTCGTGCGGCAATCGAGCGTTGAAAAATCGGTCGAGGGTGCGTTCTATCTAATGTCAACTACGGTATGTCTACCTTCCTTGTGTTGTATGCAAACTCAGCATGTATACAACCTCTAGGGTTGTCAAGAGCTTGTCGGTATTTTGTTCAAAATCCGCCACTCCTGAGTTATGTTGGCCAGTCTGAAACGGAACCACCGGCATGTACACAGCAGAGGTGTACCGCCGTATGCACTAGGCACCAAGAGGTGATGTGTGCACTGCAGGTCCTGGAAGCTAGAAAGTCTTAGGAACGAGGGTACCGCAGAACGGCCCTAAAGGGGGCACACTTCTTGAAACATGGGCATCGTGCTTGCTTGGTGTTGTCGTGCATGTATTTATATCATCGTGAAAATACGTGGAGGGAAGACACAAGAATATATCTACATACTGTACACCGAAGCACTTGCCCTGCTGTATGGTTGTAGAGTCTGGTCTGGTTGTCGTTACAGGTGGTGGTGTTGTGTTGATCTTTCAAACCGCACGTGGTGGTGAACTGCTGTTGTTTTGCACAACTTCCCTCAAAATCGAAAACTATTCTATTTCAGATGTGTGTGTATGGACACACGACACGTTTGAACGAGGGTTTGGTGGGGGGGGGAGGGGGCAGGTGCGAAGCGCCGTGTTGCATCTGGTCTCTTGTCGGCGGAAGGAAGTGTTCAGAGTCTGCAGGAGTTGAAGTCAAAACAGACTACGGAGCGTTAAGACTACGGAGCGAAGACTCCAACGCTATATGTACCTGTCGATATGCTAATAGTCTAGACCGTTAATTATTAGGTCGGCGGAATAACCAACACGAACATGCAAGCAGAGCACACACACACGCGGCGCACTTGTGCTGTTGTAGCACCCATCGCGAGAGGGCGAGATAGATCAGTTTCGCTTGAGCAGTTCTGCTTTCACTACTGCTGTACCATCTCTGCTGTTGAAGCACTCCACGTCTATTGTCATCGGCAGCTTCAGGACACGAAGGACATCGGCTAGCCGCCACCGACTGCTTGACGGCGATGCCGTGACGCGTCGCGAAATGTTGCAGCGTGGTATTGGTCAACGAAGGAGTTGAAGACATTCCGGAACACAAACCCGACTCCCATGGTTGGAATTTCCAAGCCCGTCGCGCACTTTATGGCAGGTGTGCACAGGCATACGTATGATACCAGCTGTAAAACAGAGGCCAACCCGATTCATCGTCGCGGAAGCATAATTGAGCAAACGTACATGTATCTATTCTTACGGCAGACCAAAATCATGAATGCAGGTGATCTCTATTTACTTCCCTCAAGGAGCCTACGCGAGGCACTCACGAGAGGACGTCCCTGTCCACCAGTGTTTCTTCGCCTCCACCCCCGACAGCACCACCAGTGGCGTTGTCGTCGTCGTCATCGTCATCATCTTCATCAACGTCCAGCGGCACCGCGAAAACATCAACGTTTGAATCGACCACCATCCCTCCCCTGCCGATGCCGCCTGCGAACAAGATCACCGCTGGATCGTCCACCATGACGGCGCCCATGAACCCTCTCCCTCGAGACAGCAGTAGCCCTTCCGCTGCCGTTCTGTCCGGAGCAGCTGTCTCGCCATCTCGAACGAGGAATCTACGGCCACATGATTTCGTTGAAGAAGCAACAACGGCGTGGTGGTCGGCGGCAACGGCAAGGCTCGGCAGGTCGATCCACAACAGCAGCAGCACTGCTGCAGCACCCGGGAGGAAAGGGCGAAGGCATCGCCCATCTCGACTGGGACGAACGCGGAGGCGCCAGGCCAGCGGCAGCGGCCTCCTGCGGCTGCGTCTCATCAAACACGCGTGTGCAGAGCAGCACCGCAGCACCACAGCACACCAGGCGGGGGGAATAGCGACCGACCAGTGTCAGGGCGTTCCAAAGCACGCGGAGAACAGGGGGTGGGGGCTGCTGGCTGCTGGCTGCTTGCTTGTGTGCAAGGCGGTTTCTGTCTGTGGGTACAAAAAAAAGGCGAAACGGCCGATTCCGCCGCATATTTGGCAACAGCGCCCACACAACACCGGTGATCCTCCCTTCTTGGTGTCATCAAGCTAAGGCCTGATCCACTCCAAGAATCCAGCTCGTGCATCACCGAACCCAGTTTGCGAGATCGAGCTGCGTATCTCTTTGCGCATAGGCAATATGGCTCGTGCTGGTGGCTTCTTCGCCGCGCTCATCGCCCTGCTGCTGTTGTTCATGTGGTCACCAACCTTGCTCAAGCGCTAGATTCCTCTGCCTTTGAGGCCTCGCTGGATGCCGCTGAGGAAGCTGTGGCGTCAGCACTGCGAGCCGCACGGGTAGGTGAAAAGGGGAGGGCCAACAGACAAGTAGACAGCTGTAGATGCAGAGAGGCCGGTGGAAGTGTACAAGAGGCAGAGAGAGAGACAGACATAGAGGGTAGAGGCACAGAGTCTACACAAGATCGCATCCGGTAATCCTCCATTTCGTGCGGAGAGACATTCCAGCGCACACGCGTCATGTTTAGTCTAAGCCCAGGATCGAAAGTCAGGGGCCATAGGGAGGGGGGGGGAATCGTTGTAGTTGGAGTGGGCGGGGAGTGGGTGGGGAAATTTACAAAGAGATCACCAAGTTGTATGATGAGGCGGTTTGGCAGAGGCCGGAACATGAAAATAGTACTCCGGGGATCCCCGAATTGATACTTTGTACGCAATGCATACACAGTCTAGATGCTGATAGGCATGTTCGCTGAGGCTGCCGCTGCTGCTGTTGCTCTGTGTGTACGAATGTTGTCTAGGCTTAGTGACCCCCGAGAGGTGGCGGCAATCACCCCGCGACCCGAAGGCGGGTCTGTGGGAAGCTTCTCAGCCTCTGCAGCAGTAGACTACATTGTTGTCTGAGGAATACATACTGCTGTAGAATCCACAGCAGCAGGTCAATCTGTGGGAACCCTGCATACCTCTCTATCTTCTCTTTGATCGTGAGCTCATGTGCATGTGAGCGTATAAGCTCTTCGTCGCGACGGCGCGGATACAGTAGTGGCAGCACACGCACAGCGGGGGACGGGGCGCTCGAAATGGATTTCTTGAAACGGATGGACTTGGCCCCTGACCAGAGTTCACTTATCGATTGTAGGCAGGGGGGCGGCCGTAGCCAAGAAGCTGATCTTGTTCAGTAGGAACGTATCATGGTTGTTTTCACGAACCCACAGATTTACCAAATGGAGGCTACAACAAGGTCACTATTATTCACGCCACAGTGTAGTTAAGCAGCCGTGAAGATGCGAAAACCTCGGAGTGGTTTTGTTCTCCTGTACAACACGATAATGTGCAAATCCATGCTTTGTAAACGTTACACCCGAAGGTGATTGATCACACTCTTCACCCTTGCTTCGCTAACCCGGTGTGCACAGCGCACTTTGTTTTCCCTCGAAACAGCTCTCACACACGCGTCCCTTTCCAAAAACTTCCTGCCCCGTGTAATTTGTGTAGACTAGACGCACTACGTGAGCGCTGTTCAACCGTTGTGTGTAATTTCGTAGACAGAGATCTGTTCGTTCAGAAAATATTGTCAAGTGCGACCGACCCCTCCCTCCGAGGAGGGTAATTCCGAGCAGTGTTCGCCAAAGTGGTTGATTTTGACTCGGTTCGTGTTCCAACAACGACGCCTTGAAAAAAACCCGCACGTACAACAGGCCCGAGATGGACATGTTGACCGCCCCGTAGGCGTTTCGGGGTACCAGGTACCCGTTTCTGCCTCTGATGCTGCTACCAATGGCGACCCTGGTAAAGGACTCCACGAAGGCAAGATGGCAACGGCCAATGGCAGCCATACCGCGAAATATGATGCCTCCTGCAGCGTGGACGCCGCCGGGTGAGATGCTGCGTTTGAGTTCGAGTTCGGGTGATTTTGCACGCTAAATACTGTAGGCGGTTCAGCCCGTGCACCAAACAACACCCTCCACACGCAGAAACTATGCAGTGTTTCGTCTCGCTTTTTCGGCGCGTTCTTTACACTCCCGATGGCTAGGAACAATGTCCATACCACCTCCATGCAGGTCCTGCCCCTCTTTCGGGCTTCGGGCAAACTGCAGAGAGAGTACAGAATGCTACCCCACCCGCAGTGTGGCCGCCAACATTCTGTGCTGAGCCTCCGACCAACTCTATGCCGAGCGATGGGGGTCGATGGGTTTAGCGGTGAGCCCCGCCTTAGTGCAGCAGGAGTGCAGAGCACCTTCCCTGATGTACGATTAGCACGTGTCAGCCCGTACCTACAGTACCTGCCAGTTCATCAAGCATGTAATCGTAGTGTTCCGTTTGATGCGTCCTGCTCGAACAAACTCGAAGGCCAGCGATTGAAGGCGGTGACGTCTACATCGTGTTGGAGTGTTCACAGCCTGTACACTTGGGGATCGCCGGTGCCCGTGTTTGCATGAACCAAGTGTCGAAAGCTGACAGGATTGCGTTCGTTCGTGAAGGAGCTATATCGAACATTTTCTCTCAGCAGCATCCAACGCTGCCTCTGAATAACCGATGTGGCAACATGTCCTTGACCTTTTCTGGGCGTCCCCCTCGCCCCTCTCCCTCGCGCTCGCACGTCACCGCTGACCGCATTCAGGACCCTCTTGGATGACACACCACCTGTCCCGGGAGAAGACTTGCCGGCATCCTCAGTTGCATGCGATAGCGTCACGCCAGAGAACACTGTCCGAGACGAGCCCATCGTCCAGGCGCCCTCACCAAGCGCGTCTTCGGGTGTCGAAACCGAGAGGGTGAGACCCAGATATACATGAACTACCCCATGTTGCCTCGACCTGGATCGTGTGTAAAGCTACCTAACGAGAGTTGTTTTTGGATCCGGCACAGACCAGAGACCCGGTTCGAAAGATACGAAGGACATGTTCGCGCAAACAACGTTGTAAAACGCTCAACAACCCACGGAAATAGGTGCCGTTTATGGTCTCAAACGGCCATGCGCTAGAAAAGCATGGTTTCCTCCTCTGTGTCTTGGTTAAGCACTGCGTTGATCGCAGCAGGATTTGAGACTTACCCCTGAACTGTCGCTGCCCCTTGGCTTGCTTCGAGTCGGGATGCTGAGTGTTCCCCGTGACCGAACGTTGGTCTGCGACTTCTTCATTGACCTCAGAACCGAACGCGCTCGATCAAAAAACAGTTTGAAGGAGAATTGTTCGAGAATCAAGTACTGACCCCCTCCACACGACCACCTACGTATATAGCTAGACAATGCCTGGGCTCAACGGAACAAGGCAAAGGACCGAATTGTTAGTTCTCCAGATAAGAGCTTCTCCACCCCGCTCTCAAAGTGTCTTGCCGTACTGCCATTGTCCCGGCGCCGAAGCCCTTGGTAGCTCCTCTTTAACTGGTGGAATACCTGCCTTACCCACTCACCCGCACCATGCGAATGGCGTCGAGTCGAATACAGCGCTGCATTCCGGTAAGGCAAACATCACGCCATCCTCATACCAGAGCGTTTTATCACTATTCCGCCTCGGCATCTGATGCTGGGAGAACGCGCACCCGTGCTTGAACGCGATCCGTTTAGACCTGAAGAGCCGGTCTACTTCTGTCGGGACAGATCATGATGATTTGCACGCACCGACAGATCTCCCACATGGGGGCTACAACAAGGTCACTACGAGAGAAAATGAAGCGCGCCGTTCACGCCAGTGCAGTTAAGTAGCCGTTAAGATGTGATCACCTTCTCGTGGAAATACATATTTTTTCAGAGGCACCCGAACGTGGATGATCACGCTCTTCACGCTTGCTTCGCTACACCGGGGTGCACAGCGTACTTTCATTTCCCTCCAGTCGTTCCGCACGCACGCGTGCATTTCCACCAACTTCCCTCCCGTGTCGAATCGGACAGACGTTCGTTCGTTCGTTCGTTCGTTCACAAAACCTTTGCAAGCGCGATCGACCCCGCCCTCTGAGCAAGAGATTCGGAACAACGTTCGCCAGTGATTGGTGTTGACTCATTACGGGGCCCAACATCGATGTCTTGAAAACCCTCTGCACGCACAACAGATCCGTGACCTCGACGGCATTTCGGGGGACCTGGCGCCCGCGCTCGCATCACCGCCAGTTGCGTTTCTGGACGCCTTGGCTGCAGCTGAAGACGCTGCCGCGTCAACACGATGCCCGCTGGTGGGTGAACTTTGGCTCGAAAGGGAAGGGTGTATTTTCAAAGATTGACTGTAGAATACCGAGAGCGGCCAGAATGGGAAATAATGGAAGAGAGACAGACCGACATAGAGGCAAAGAGGGTAAAGAGAAAAAGAGAGATAAACAGATAGCGATGTCTGGTTGTGTTACAATTTTCCGGGTGCCGCACAAATCCCTCCATGGACGGATGTGTCAAACACCTACCAACCAAGTTCTTGTGCTATCTACCAACATCGATGTTTTCAACAACCCCTGCACGCACAACAGGTCCAAGATGTACGTAATCTGGTGGACCAGGTGCCCGTTACTGCCGCTGGTGCTGCTACCAACGGCGACCCTGGTGAAGGGCTTGACGAGGGCAGAATGGCAACGTCCGAAAACCACCACAGCGCGAAATACGACGCCCCTTGCAGTATGGACGTCGCGGGGTGAGATGCTGCATATGAGTTCAAGTGTCGATGATTTGCTCGCTAGACGGTGCTGCCCGTGCACAAGAAAACAAACAACGCCCTGCAACCGGTCGCCCGGGTGGTCTAGTGGTGACCTCGAAACCGTTCGAGGTGACAAAATCGTGAGTTCGAATCACCATGGGGTGAAAATTTCAACTGTGCCGGTGAAAGAAAGAAATTAAGCTGAAAAACTCTCGTGAGTACCAAACTTCGACGTTAGCACCGTTGACGAGGGACAGGGACGGCTGGACCCTCCTCGCTATAGAAAACAAAAATTCAGCACGCACCGCAGGAGGAAGGTGGGGCGTTTGCAAAAAAACAAAAAGCCCCGGTGTTTACCCCCTCCCGTGTGACCCTGGATGGTTGTACATTAGCTGTAGGAAAAAAAACACTGAACTAAAGTGTACTGTAGTATTCTACATACACTGAAAGTGCAGTACACATCTCACCACGAACAATGTGGGGACTGTCGCCATAAAATTAAGACGAAAACACACACACATATACGCAGAACTGCAACGAGTGTTTTGTCTCGCATTTGTCACACGTTGTTTCCGCTCCCGGTGACTAGGAAGAAGACTCATACCGCCTCCATGCAGCCCCTGCCCCCCTTTGGGCTGCGCGTGAACTGCAAAGAGGGTACCGCGGGCCGATCCACCGGTATTGTGGCCGCCATTATTCTGTGCTGCGCCTCCGACCGACTCTAGATACCGAACCAGTAGGCGAAAATGCTGTATCAGTCATCACCCAACCTCCCGAACATCGACAACCTTGACAGTTAGTGACAACAGAGGTGATCGGATTCTCAGTACAAAGTATCGATGGCCGTAGGCGCGTGGTTCTACTTTCCGTGCCCTCTCTGCAGGTTGCCCCCAGCCTCTACCCCCGCTGGTATGCGTTGAAAACGATAGAAAGGGACCGACCGCATATGCCTCGAAGCTCAAACATATGGCCATACTAAACCACCAAGGAAAGGGACATGAAAAAACATGTGTTTCCGTTTGGCTGTAAAAGGTGTGGAGAGTCTGACTGATGGTAGTTTCTCAACTGGCGATTGAACCGCATGCGATGGCAATGGTCCGGCAGTTAAGGGAAGAATCCAGCGAGTCCCCCCGCCCTGCCCTTCCCGGGTAAGTGGGCCTTTGACCCCCAACAACACGGACTAGTTTAGTCGAAACGGAGGTGAGCTTCAGTCGGTGTGGGTAATAATGCACTCAGCCAGCCGTCGGTTGGAGTTGAGCATCGGAGCCCTGGTGCCCTGTTGTTTTGTCCGGTCTGGTTAACATGGCGCTCAGGCATAAATTACTTTTGAACGCGTCGGTGCTCGCGAAGAAGATGTCCGCCTCAGGAAACATTGATTCTTACCCAAATTGCCCCCAATTGTTGCACTTTTGGACCAGGCTCGGTGGATCGACTACCTTGCGTTCCGAGGATGATGGCCAGGACGTCAGCGACTTGCTCGTCGTGAAGTCTCCTGGCAGCGATCAACGTGACGTGCTGGCGGCCGCTTCCGCACAGACCGCCACGATCGTCGATGGCAACGGCGACAGGTGACACGGAACCTGAACTCTGGGAGTGGTCCTGATGTTTGATACATAGTCTCGGAAATATCTGTGGCGGCAAGTTGTATTTCAGCCTGCAGCAAACAAACGTGTCTGGGACTTTGCTCCTGGTTGATGCTGTGTGAATGAAACCTGAATCGGATTCTGGTCCAACCTGAGCCGAGATCCTATCGATAGTAAACCAATCATCCTCCCACTCCCCCTCTCTCGGTGGAAGCAGCCCGAACCTACCGGTCGTACTACCACCACACACGGCCGCTGAGAAGGGTCCTGAACAAGACGACGGACCAGAAGGCACAGAAGTGGAGTCACAGCGCCTCCCCAACCAGGACCAAGCATCTACCGAGGGAGATCATCCCGAAGAAAAGGCCATGACGAACGGACTCTCTCGCCCTTCCTCCTCAAGCCGGATCGGAGCGCGCCATGTTGCAGCCCATGACGAGCCTCAGATTCGTGGCGATTCAGCGCCTGGAGCACCCGCTTCGACTGCCTCGGACATGTTGTCCAGGGTGGAATACAAGCACCTTGGCATTGCTGTGGTCGGGTTGTTGCTGTTGGTTCTTACCGTCAAGAGCAGGGTCGGGATGAAGGTGGTTGCTGTGGCCATGCTGGCGATGTCGCTGGCCGTGGTCGGGTGCCGCACGGGCGCGCGGCGGAGCCAAGGCGCCGGCACCCCTCCCGCGTGGGGCGAGTGGTGCTTGTGGTGAAGATCGCCATGGTGGATGGCCCGAGGGCGTTGGTGTGGTGGGTGTCAGATCGTGATTGGGTGAGGTCAACTTCCTCTTGGACGGGGGGCATCTGCACGTACGTCGCATTGGCGGCGTTCGGAATGTTGCGGTCAGACGTCACAAGCAGGATCAAGAACTGGGTGGCTTCGGTGCTTACAGGGGGGTTCTCGGTTGTTCGGAACCAAGTGTCACGAGCACGGGCGGTGGACTTACCGACCTTGCTCTCTATCGTCGAGGAGACGTGGATGTCTCTTTCGGTGGTGACCCTGGCGGCCACGTCGAAGATCACGCCGATAGATGAGTCCAGCCCATACATGAAAGTGATGTCAAAGTCTGATATGGCTAAGTGGAATGCTTGGTGGTACGACTACCGCTGGGTGGTTTTGGGCATGTTGATGCCGCTCTTTCTCGGCATCATGAGGATGGTCACGAACGACATCATTTCTATGACGATGCTGACGATGTGCCGAGTTCGGGGTCGATCGCCGCAAGGACGCGCGGCGAGGCCATATCACTGGCACACCCTCCGCCCGGCGGTGGTGGCAGTTGTGGCGAAGATCGTTGTAGTCGATGGCCTGGGGGGGCTGGTGTGGTGGGTGTCAGAGCAAGTTGCGGCGAACTTTGTGTCTGGCTGGAGGAAGGTCTTCTGGTGGTCGGTCGTGCTGGGTTCCGGGGCCTACATGCGCTCGTATACTCTTGACGTCATAAGCAGCATCGCGAACGGAACGGTTGCCGTGGGTACGTGGGTATACTCGACCGTTCTCCACCAGAGGTCGCCTGGGCGCGGGGCGGAGTCACCGCGTTGGCACCAATTCCGCGCGGCGACGGCCATGTTCACTGCAGGGTTGGTTGCGATGGTCATGGACCGTATCGCTGAGACAGATGGATGGAGCGCATCAGTGGTGTGGGCGTCACGCGGGGCCACCGTGTTTCGGAGTCGTCTGCCACTCACCTTTCAACTGGTATCAGTCTCGTGGAAGACCTTGGGGGTTGCTGCGACTGCAGCGGCATTGATGGCCTGGGTGATGGTGGTGTACGTGGCGGCAGCTGGGCTTTTCTTTGTATGCACCAACCGCATGACATTTCCGATTCGAATTCTTGTCCGGATCTTCGAGCTCTACGACAAGTGGGGAGAACCCAACACCCTTCAGGTGCGCAAGTGACGACGTATCGTTGGACCACGTCCGATCACCAACAGGCCCTATAAGCAAAATCACCGGTGTTTGTTGCGCCTCCACGTTTGGGACGAGAAACATTAACAGACCGGCTGCAATTCGCTGTAGAGACGTGTACGTTCCAGACAAGGATGAGTCGCACGACAGAATTCTATCACTCACTCCCACAACCAACAGTCGGTGGTGGTATTCTGTGTCTGTGTCAACCTTTCTAGAGTATAGTGGGATCGCTGTCGTGAAACGTGAAGCGTCGATCGAGGCCCAATGCCTTCGTTCGCCCCCCCCATCGAGCATGGGCAATCACCTGGACCCGTGTGGTATACTATCTATCGCTGATGTACCTTACCAAACATTTGGGCTATTGTTAAAACATGAGCAAATTAGTTGTCTTGCGCTCCAAGGATCTTGCGCGAACCCACGTGTGGTTCGTAAAGACTCGAGTTCTGGGAAGCGCTGACTCCGAGCACAAAAAGGGACGTGTGTTCTACGATCGTGATCCCCAGTCACTCTCGTTCCAACCATCGTCGGGGCTACACTAAACACCCAATTTTCCCACGCCCCTCGTGCCACCTGTTTGTTTGGCAGCTCCGCGACGACTTGGTCGGCAGGATATACCTCATGCTCGTCCTCCCCCGACGTCTACGTTCCTTTGGGTTAGCCTCCTCGTTTGGGTGGTCGTCATTGCGGTCGATAATGTTGTCGTTGTTCTCGTCGTCGTTGTTGGTGTTGGTGTTGGTGTTGGTGTCGTTGTCAATGTCGATGTTGGTATCGATGTCGATGTCATCGTTGCTCGTTGATGTTCATGCCGTCGGTCTGGTGGATGTCTATTGCGTTGTCGTCGTCGCTTTGGTTGCTGCTGACTGGTGCCACGGTTGTGCATGGCCCCCAATACTTCGCCTTGTCCACGTACATGCCTCACCCGCTTGAATAGCCAAAATCCAAACGCCTCAATGGTACTTCCACCAAAACCATGCAAGAACAAAGAGATGAGCTAGATCGCGCCGGGAGCTGTTCGAACTCGGGCGTATTCTAGTCAAACCAACATGCCGGCTACTCTCGACAAAGTTGTTGGTCGTCTTTAGATTATTCACAAAGACGCACGTCAAATACTACAACTATGATCCGACGCCCTCCTGTTGCGCTACGTTTCTCCCGCCTCCGTCAACTGCCTCTATGAAGCTTGGACCATCTTTGCGGGAACATGAAGTTTGCTCTTCGTGTGGGGCTGCACCGCAACGTGCTGTGCCATGCGCACGGTACCGACGCGAGCCTGAAGGCCGCGCTCTTCTCGGTACTCTCTCGACCTGGCGACGACTACACGCAGGTGCGTTGACCAATCGGCGAATTGCGTTTCCTCACGGGCCGAACACGGTAGCACATTCAAGGAGAACAACGTTGTACCCAAGCGCAACTTTCACGGCAGTTTCCCAGAGGAGATACCCCCGCCACTCTCGCTGTCCTGGCTGGCTACGTCCTTTCGCTCAAGTGCCCCCCAACAACCGCGTGCACCCATCCGGAGCCCTGTCCTTTCTTGTGTGCCAGGTTTTGGTCGTCGCGCGGAGTTTTCAAGACGAGTGTGATCTCTCTGTGATTTTCCACAAGTTCGCCGCGCTTACCGACACACCCATGACGGTGAGTGTCTCAAATTGTCGGCACTACCACAAAGGATGGATTCGTAGTTCGCAACTAACCTATTATGAATGCAGAAAGTACGTCACGGGAACGGCTCGGCGCTTCCTCATGATTCCAAGCGCTTTGACATGGTCACGTTGGTTGTTTATTTTGTCTGTGGGCGTGGGTAGCACTTCGTCGCCGGAAGATGCGCTGCTGTTCTTACCCCCCCGACAATAATCACGTGCGGTGGACATGGTGACAGGTTTCCATGGCGCTCCATTCCGACTGGCAAAAAGAGGTGCGAGCGCAGGTGGTCATCGGCACTGCCTCGACCCTGTCCATCCTTCTGGACAGAGGCGTCCTCGACACGTCCAACGTGACAGCTTTCGCGGTTGACCTCGGCAATGACGACTCGTCGGTAAGAGTTCTACAGCAGCATCAGGGCCGAGACCAATAACCATGCGTTGTTTGGCATTTTCTGTATTTTTTGGCATGCTTTCGGGGCCGCGGGGGCATGGGGAAGAGCTGCAATACTCAGGAAGGCGTAGGCTGTTCGGTATTCTCGGGTTGCACCGACGTGCTTTCTGTGAACGTACCTGGCTGACAGAGAATTTTCTTTGCTGGAAAGAACCCACCAGGCGGAACCAAGAGGAATGCTTGCGTTCTGCGAAACTACGAAATCATCCCGGTGGGAGCCGGCAAGTTGTTGCTAGCAGAGAGACATTTCGGGCACCAACAGAGTATATGCAGGATACACCACGCACCCCACACCCCCGGCTGCAACTAGGCCAGAACCGCTTTCGCCCCGAAGGCTAGGAATCGAGCAGTGTCACAGCACAGGAACAGCAGCTACGGCACCAATCTTGATGACTGTCAGTACAAAAGCCGCGGGTTGTTGTTGTTGTTTTGTTGTTGTTTTTCTCACATTAGCTCTATAGTCCACAACAATGGGGAGCCCGTGGTCGCAAAACCCGGCACATACGACGCCGTGGGGAAACAAAACATTAATAGAGTACAAACCACTCTGAAAAAGAAACCAAAATGATAGAAAGAAAAGAACAGCTACCGCACCGACCAGTCAAGAAAAGGAGCCCTAGGAATGTGTGTTTGCACCGATGGGTAGGCGGTAAAGGGGAACTTACAAACGCTGTTCCGGGGCTTACATGATGTAGGGGGCACAAGTCTCGCATTTCCACTAGGTACGGGACTTACCGCGTGGTCAACGCAACGTTTTCCCTACCTTGTACCACGCTTTGGGGGGAGAAAGGGTTGATCAGTTGTTGAGGGGACATCCTCGGCCCTTTAGATGGACCCTTTCTCTCTCGATACGTGTGTGGCACCTGTCACTGTTTATGATTCGCGTGGCACGGAAATACGTTAGCCTTCGAGAGAGCATTCTACATCACGAGCAATTCCCAGCCCCGCCGATCATAACGTAAGCAGCAAGCACAGTTGAACAGCTTGACGGTGCCCCACCGACCAGCTGACGAAGTTGTCGGGAGACGAGTTAACGCAACATCGGCAGTTGAAAAAATCGCGCAACGCATGCGTGCATGCTGCCGTGCCCTACCCGACACCTCTATCCTAGTTCTGCCAGAAGAAGCACATGGCGATCATCGAAGGACCCTGCCTGTCCATCAAGCGCATGCTGCCTGGAACGTGTCAGTCAATGGTATTTGCTGGCGGCTATTACAGGTTTGAAGAAGATGGAACGCTACCGTGACAGCTTGTCACCGCGCGCGACGTTGAGAGTGTACGCATCGCTTGCGAGTCGGGTTGCCCTTCGATGTTCAAGTTCCCATGACGAAGTACTCTTGACAGTGTGACCACGATAGCCGCCTTTGGGGTGGAGGTTGGAGGTCACACCAAATGTAATCACACGAACTTGTCGATATTCGTATTTCTGGCAATTTTTCTCGCGTTTCCAGCCTCCTTCGAGTGGAAGACACTGCATCCCCCCGTTTGTGCCATCCCATCGATCTTGATTATGGGCAATGATGGACAGCCCACAAGCCTTGGTCTAGCCGGCTTAGCATACGGCAGCGATTGGCCCCCTTCTTACCCGCTCTTCCGTTCCCGTGCCGGTTCACCGTCATGCCTCTGACACCGTCTACACTCGTCCTTGGCATCCCGGCAGGGGGGTCAACCACTTTGCGACCGGACTCGCGCCCTCACCTAGCGTGTTTCGGA